TCCATATTCCATGCCATTTGCAGAAGATACGTTATTTAATATACAACACTCCACTCAGTGTGATCCCAGTATTAAGGAAAGTGAGGCAGTTACTCCAAGGAGCAGATACTAATTGGCAGTTGTGAAATGAGTGTGAATGAAACTGAGTGTGAATCCGACATCCATTTTCTGACTCGAAAACTGACTTTTGTGCAGTGATAAGATGGTTTCATTGTTATTGTGGAAATAAGATGGTCCTGTCTTCTATTACCATGAAAATGGCACTATGAACATGGGTATAGACGAACAAGTTTTAAAATACAGAGGAAAGTTGTGTAATATATCCAGATTTTGTTTTGTTCTTGCATTCATGGCTTGTGCTTCTGACAAATAAAATGACTTTAGCCCAAGCCTATAATTTTACTAGGCTAACATCTTGTAGAGAGACAGTTTATTTTTCAAGGGACAATTACTAAGCTAAGAAAAGAAAATGCTGTTCGATGCATTTATATTGGTTTCTCTAATTATATACATAGTGCTTTTCTTTTTTCTTTTTCTTTTTCTGGAGACTGGGCTTTTCACTTCTTAAAAAATACCATTGGGTGTGTCCCTGTCTGCCTTTATGCTGGAAACCTAGAATTTCCACATGTGGTATCATTTACTTGTTTCAAAAGTTACAAAAACAAATATGCTGTGGAATATGCTTGAAAAGAAATGTAGATAAAGCTGAAAGGGCCATACCTCTGCAGTACCGTGTGTGAGTCTTGGCTTCTGAGTTGTATCTTTACATTAATGTTTGAGATACTTTCTACAGGGATTCCCTTTACCTTACTTTTAAGAGGAAAGAAAAGAAGAAGGCTCAAAGAGTGAGAGGTGAAAAATATATATGGCCCAGATGACCAAGAGTTTCTGATCCTTTGCCCATTCAGAGTGGCTTTCTGAAACCTAATGTCTTCAATCACCACTTTGGCCTTGGTGGGTAGGATATAGATGATGTAAGTTCTGACAGCATTCCAGCGAAAGCCAGATTTATAATGGGGGAATAAGGAAAGTCTTAGCAGTAATTGCTAAGCTATTAGAAAATATACCAGTGGAATAAGGAACAAGGAAAGTAATTGCTTCAAAGGAAGCAGTTACAGAAGTTGCTGTGAAGTGTCCAGAGGCAGTGTAATCTAAATGTTGGTGGATAAGGGAAAAGAGGGTGTGTAAATCCATTCTCTGAGTTGAGGTAAGTGCTAGAGTTTTATTTAAAACAAAAATATTAGAGCAAAAAAGCTCATTCCACTGAGAGTTACCAAATATCTGCACAGGCAAAGACATACTAGGTTTTGGACACAATAAATATTTAGCTTTCTTGGCATCTACAACAAAAAATATGGTGGGGAAAAAAACCTGCAAAAAATTACTCAGGCCTATATGTATTTGAAAGTATTCTTTCCAGCATCAAATGTATTGTTTTTTAAATCACAATATTTCTCCAACAAATTTTTATTCCCAAGAACCTATGCTAACAAAAGTATAGGATTGGCGATGATGTACTTTTCAAATGTCACTATAGAAATGTATCTACAGATAGAATGATCAGAGATTTGAAAGGGCTGATTTGAAGCTGATTGCTGGAATCAGGAAATACATTTGAATACTGTAACCTAAAAAAAATAGTTTGTCATGTCTGTTGATGGTCCAGGTAAAGAAAGAAGCAGATAATTTAAAAGGACACAATATACAAGCTTGGAATGACTATTATAAAAACAGTCTAACCTGTTCCACCCCCCCAAAAATAACCCTCCCACACCAACCAAACAAAAAGCCCTGAACACTACAACCAGACAATATTTGATTTGACGATTATATCTGCTGGGTAGACAAATGGATTAAAAGGAGACATGTTCAACAAGAATAATACACGAACAAACAATAGATACAAACTCAAGGTAAACCATTCCAAACCCAATTGCAGAACATACGACTTCAGCAACAGTGTGGCCAATGCCTGGAATGCACTACCTGACTCTGTTGTTACATCCTCAAACCCCTATAATGTTAACCTTGGACTGTTTACTGTTGACCTCACCTCATTCCTAAGAGGTCTGTAAGGGGCGTGCATAAGCGCACCTGCGTGCCTACCATCCCTGTCCTACTATCTCCATTTATTCGCACCCATTTACTGTGTTCATACTTATGTTTATATTTATACCTGTTATCTCTTATGTTTGACAAACAAACAAACATGTCTTCCTTTTGGCTGAATAACTGGTAACCCCTATTTCACTAACTTTTCTATGTATCGTTTCTTCTGTCTAACAATTCTTTTTTCTCTTTCTCCCCCCCCCACCTCCCTCCCTCCATTTGAAGAAATTGTTCATTGTATGAAGAGATTGAAAAACTTGAAATCACTCTTGGCACCATGCTTTACTGATTAATTGTACTGAATCAAAGGAAAAAAATATTGATCCACCTGTTTAAATACAGAACCTTATTTAAAGGGGGTGGGGTGCTAGGGTGTCTATCTAGAACCTGGGAGAGTTCCCCCAAAAGTCTTTATGAATTCTTTTCATTCCATTAAATGTTATCTTGGGATTAATTCAAACTCTTAGCCTAAGGTTTGGGGAAAGCAAGGATAGTATTTAAAGTCAACCTCTCTTCTTCTGATAGGAAGCAGAATACAGCCCAAATGAGAAAGAGGTTTAAACTGCAAAACAGATAATAAAAATTAGTACCTCTGAGGTTTCTCTCAAGGAGAGAAGGAGAGAAAGGGGAAAGATGGAAGTACTCTATTCTTCTGATAGGAAGCATAGATGGTTTGCTAAATACTGACTTCTGTAAATGAGCTGGAGAATTACAACCAGGATTATCTCAAAACATTATCCCCTTCCTTCCTTCCTTCCTTCCTTCCTTCCTTCCTTCCTTCCTTCCTTCCTTCCTTTCCTCCCTCCCTCCCTCCCTCATGAGAAGTGGAACTCAGTGATGTGGATTTTCTATTATAGCATGTACAGTATATGGTATTTCTCAGTAAACTTTACTTGCCCTTTAAACATCTAGCTTCTAGATCCACTTAATAGCTGTGTTTCAATTTATAGAAAAAATATTCTGCTAAATATGGACTTCAGTGACTGGGTTGATGGATTTTAATCAGAGTTATCTCAATATTTTCTCTACACAAGTAACAATGGGATTGAGGGTGAAAAATAAATTAGTCAAAATTATGAATCAAACGAGAATGAACATTTAGCACTTGTGACACAAATCATGACCCAAGTGTCAACAGTAAATGCAAGGGATGGTGAAAACTTTTAATCTCCCCATTTGTTCAAAAGGTTGGGCCAACCAATAGTGTTTTAAAAGAAACACAACTTTGCATTTAAGGCTAACCTGTAAATCATTCAATTGACTGTATCTCTTTCCCTCCACCTCTTCTTTATTCTCCTTCCCCTCCCCCCAAAGCATTTTTCTTCATTAATTAAAAATTCCCATCACATAACTGCTGTGGCATGGTTCTTTAGAAATAAATGGAGTGACATACCAGGACTTGGGTCTTCTTGGACATTTCTTAATTCAGAAAAGCTGTTTTAGAGGCTCTGTTTCATTTGCAGCAAGTAACAGTTTCTCTAATTTGCCCTTGGGCAGTAAACCACAATATACACTGGGGGGGGGGGGAGGATATCTGCACTGATTTAGGACTTACCTTAAGCTGAAGCTATCTAAGCTCTAGTCAGATCTTGGATGAAGCTCTGGGTTCCCAATATGCAGAGTGACATTCAGCCTCTTGCTTCATTATGTGAAAAAGTTTGAATGGGAGTAATTGCTTATTTGGTCAAATGGGTTAGAAAGAGTGATCATAAGTCTTCTGAGGCAAAGATTATGTTGGTAGCCAGCCAAATTCTATCACCAATAAAAATTGGCTGATCTGACTCACCTGTTTGCTACATACATGAAGTAAACAGCCTTGTTTCAATTATATGCTATTGGTAAAGTGATTGCCATTAAAGTGGTGGTTATTCTACAGAAACAACACGAAGGGCAATGAATTAATTGTCCATCTTTCAGTTCTTGAGGTGTAAAACAGGATCTGTAATGAAGATAAGTAAAAGGCTGGCATTTCCTTTTCTTCAAACTGTAGATTACTGTACAGGGATTAAAAAAAGAAGTAATATTATTTTCCAAGTATATATTCCTAGGAACAAAGTTCTGGTGGAGACAGGATGGGGCCCAATAAGCAGGGCAATAATTCAGTTATGTTATTTCCTTGGATGTCAGACAAGAAATATAAGCATGGAAATAAGTGGAAAGTTGGGAAAAATGAATTGTGGGTCAATCATGGTGTTGATGGAAAGTACTATCTTTTTAAAAAAATAAACTGTGATCTTTTGCTCTGCCCTAGGTAGTCTTTTGTTGACTTGAAATCCAAGAGAGACATCATTTTTTGCTGAAGCCATAGTAAGAAAAATGTAATTATCCTGCAAGAAATTCACATTGCTGCAGGACATCTATATCAGAATCCATGGACAAGCATTTATAAGGCCTGTGCATATACCAATCCATTCTGAGACTGAAATTTTATAAATATATAAACTCCCAAGGGTGGGAATGAGGACTAAAAAAAGAAAATTAACTTCTTTTCCCCAATGCAAAAGCACTCAGCAGAGTCAAAACAGGGACTAGAGAAGATTTGTTTTCAGGCTAGAAAAGAGGAAATATAAAAATTTCTGTTCTTATAAAAATAAGAGCAGAAATAACTATGCTGAATTGAGTAAAAGTATCTTGTTTCCCACTGTTGGCAACTAAGATATGCATGGAAAAACCACACAGGACTTGAGGACAAGAACTTTCACAGGCTGTCGTTCCTTAGCAACTACATACTGCTTTTGATCCAAAATGCACTATATTGTGGCCATTACTAGTAATTGTCAGCGGAGACAACTGTTGCTTAGAAAACAAAGGCTCTTTCAGTTACTGCTAGAACTTGACAAAGAGAGCTGCCTTGCTTTGGTTGTTTATAGTAGTTTGCTAAGGGATGAACCATGAATGATGAATACAATCTCATGATTGACCTGCAGGTCATTTCAGAAAAATCAGTGAAAAGGCACAATTGATGACCTATAATTTCCTTAAAGTTAGGAGATAGATCTAGGAGTCACATCATGGGTGCAATCCATGTGTAACATACATAGTTCAGAATGAGTATCATACTGGTATGTGAAATATCTGTTTTCACTATGTTCTCTGGGAAGCTTCAGTCACCAGCACAGGCCAAGGCTGTTGTTATCAACAAGCAATGGGCACATTTGCATCAAGCAGAACTGTAAGATGTATGGATCTTATCAAGCAGTTAGAATTGCCACTGAAAGCGGAGTGTATTTCATTTCTTATCCACCTTGATATGTTGATATGTGAAGGGATCAGAATTCATTATTTTATTTTGAATTATTTTTTCATAATAAGTGAACTTTGCAAGATCAATCTGGGTTGGTCACTGGGACCAGAGGTTTACTCTCCCAAGCTTTTGACTCATGCTGGAACCCATCTTCAGGGGACTTCTCTCTCCTGGTCCCGGTGACTGATTCAGATTGGATAGCAATAGCAATAGCACTTAGACTTATATACCACTTCATAGTACTTTTACAGCCCTCTCTAAGTTGTTTACAGAGTCAGCCTATTGCCCCCAACAACCTGGGTCCTCATTTTACCCACCTTGGAAGGATGGAAGGCTGAGTCAACCTTGAACTGGTGAGATTTGAACTGCCAAACTGCAGCTAGCAGTCAGCTGAAGTAGTCTGCAGTACTGCACTCTAACCACTGCGCCACCTGGGCTCTCTAACTACGGCGCCACCCTGGATCTTGCAACATTATCCAGGGATACGTATATTTGCCTTCATTTGTAAGGGAACTTTTAAATTTGTTTTAAGCAATGTCAAGTGTCTTTGCAGACAAACTAATTTACGTCTGAGCTTCCTATAATAATAACTATTTATGGTAGAGGTAATGAATTAGTCCTATACTATTTGTTAGGACTCACTAAAAATGCAGAGTCCTTTTGTGGAGGAAACGTGAAAGAATGGAAGGAGATCTAAGACAGATAATCAGAGCTTCCATAATACCGCCAGTTGGCATTGGCCCAGATGGGTAGGTCATTTGATGGGCATTTGTTTTTGGGTTTTTAAAAAATCTTAATTGTCAAGTGATGTTCAACTGGAAAAATTTAACTTGATTTACTTGGTGAACATATTTTGGAGGACTAGAAAAGAATCAGGAAATTACAGTCCAATAAAGTAAAGTGTCACTTTTTTCTGTCATATAAGAATATAAAAGGTGAGAACATCAATAGAAGAAGCATTCCTGCATATTTGCATTTTATTTTCCAAGTGCAGGAATATAGTACACTGGACAAATGGTAATGGACAAACTACTACTGATCAGATTCTGTTTCATTCATTCCGAACGTCGTTTCCCAATGCCTTTTTCCCATACAAAATATATTGCAAAGATAGAAAGATGTTAATGTTTTAAAGGCAGGGATTAGAAAAAAAGGACAAAATAATATAAATGTTTATAAAGACTCACCTATAACATGTTCTTTTACTCTGTGTATGTAAGTTTGCCAATAATATAATTTAAAAAAAATGAAATTTAAGATTTATGTGACAATTCTATAAATCTTGGAATTATAGCTGCAATAACAGATTATACAAGTATCTCATAACAGACTCCCCCCCCCCTTAGCAACGAAGTCCATATTTTCTATTGGCTATTGCAAAGGATTTGCATTTTTACTTATCTTGCTCTTTAAAAATATGTTCTATCCTTTTTTCCCTGGGTTGGTTTAACCTTACCAGATCTTTTAATTACATTTCTCCTCCTTTAACTGACCACCCTAAAATCCAAGCCCTTTCCACAAATCTGTAAAAAATGTTTCCACTGCAATGGGAGACAAAAATAGAACGATTCCACGTCTTTTTGGATTCATGCCTAGGAGAAACTATGCAGTTTGATTGACAGGAGGATGTAGCCTTTACTGAAAGCCATTTCTTTTAAAATACCCTGCATTTAGTCTTCAAGAATCTTCAAGCAAGTGTCTGAAGAAGGGGTTTACCCTGCCTCGTGGCTGCTTTCATCTGTTGCTTCTGCTTGAGTTTTTCTGACTTATCATTCAATTGTTTTGGCTTTCCGGTACTCGTGGAACACACCAGCATTTTCTTACTTGGGTGAGCATTTTCTTACTTGGTTTTCTTTAAAAAAAATGTAAAGCTGGAAAACTTACAAACATCCTTTAGTAATTTGGCTGTAAAATTGCAATTCTGGATTACTGCCGCTTTTCTAAAAGTGTATCTTTCTACCTCAGCTTTGTCAATAGCATACTCTTAAGTAAAGCCAAAGAGCAGAAATTAGTTGTAAGTCTTGCTATGAAAAGTTTTGAGTAAGGATTCTACTTTACAACTGCTCTGAACACTCTCAATATCTGCCTGGGCTCTAGTGGCATAAAAAGCCTCATAAAGCTAATTGAGTCATTAGGAAGGCAAAGAAAAAACAGCTTTTCCAGATGAGCTGCAGAATAAAAAAAAAATGGATTACAAGAAAGGGGGAAGGATCAGCAGCAACTGTATTTTGCTGTTGTAAGATTTAATACCAAACTTCCTGGTAAAAATTCACAAATGTAGTAACAAGTTAAGTTAATGCTAACCATCTTTTCAAAATGCTGATAACAAACCACTGCTGCCCGTTTCTGTCCTTCTAAATACAGTATTAGACTAGATTGTCATATTACACATTTGCAATTTGATTTTTCTGTATTTTGGGGTGGTAGTGTTTATTTTTTTGATAAAGGCATTTAAATCTCCTTGTTTTTACATGTATTTATTTCATTGTAACTTTATTGACAACAAGAAAAAAATTGGTTTTGAAATATTGTATGTGGTAAATTCTTATGAAGGGGCCAAAGAATGAAACAGCAGTATGCTTTATTTTTTTTTAAGTAAGCAAATAACTCTCAAAGTCATCTTACTCACATGAACAGAACTGAGTTTATATTCTGACCAACTGAAGATAATGCAGAAATGTGAATGTGTGAGCAGGATATGTGTTAAGTCGGAAATGCCACCATGTGTATGGTGACAGTTTTGAATGTGTATGTGTGAAAATAAGATAGGCATGTGCAGAAAGAAAAAGAAATATTCCATACAATTCACATCTATATATTTTCAGAGAATTTTGTACTATTCAGCCATGGATTTATCTCTTTGCTGTGCCTCATTTTTTAAAAGCAAAATTTAGTTGCACACCAGATGATCAGAAAACTAAGCAGGGTCATTTGAGTTTACTTATTGTTTGATAATAGTTTGACACTATTTCTCTAGGAAATCCTTAACAGAGAAGAAGCTGATTATAATCAAGCACCTGCTTTTTTCCAAATAAGTGTTTAAAATTCCATGCAGCTAATTCCTTAAAAAAGAGGAAATTAAAAATGCTGGTTGTGGGGCTTACATTTTCAGAAGCTCAGAGAACACATCCAGTTCTTTTCTTTTCTAGTTCTATTCAGATATTCATTCTGAATATTGGGGAGCAATATATGATCAAAGGGCAGAGCAAACAACTTCTCTGTGGCCAAGATTTCCTTGTATTCCAGAGCCTAATCCTTCAATGAGATATCAGAAAGATCAGCCCCAAACACCAAACTACTCTGACTTCATTTCTTGAGTCTACCGAAGTGTTTTTAAAGAAGGAAAATGAGAAAGTACTCCACACAAGTCCTGACCAAAATGCTGAATGTCCATTTTGTTTTAATTTTTGCTTTGTTCAGCCTTTCTGTTTTAAATCCTGGTAATTTGCCGCTCTGTTGTTTGAGTCAAAGGGGGAAAAACCTCTTCCATTCTTCCCATCCAAGATAATTATTTCATTCAATCCTTCTTTTCTCTCCTTTATTCACCTAGTGGTGTTATCTGCTCAAAAACACTTTGTAAAGATGGCAAGGGCTTGGTTTTGATGAGGAATAGCAGAAAACCTGGTAGCAGATTTTCAGATGAGTGGGTGGCAGACAATCAATCTTGGCTAGAATGCCCAGCTGATGGTAAGATCTTCATAGTCCTAATTTGGATACTTCTAGAGTATGGGGAAGAACTATGCAGTAGCAAAGGGTACTACAGAAGAAATATGCATGTATGATCATGTCTTATCTTTCACCTGAAGCAAGGCTCAGTATCATTTGGGATTTCAACTAAGTTACCTGTAATATACGTAAGAAGGTATGAATCACAGTAAAAATGTTTCTTTTAAAAGTGTGGCAAAAACCAATTATGTAGAGCTTCAAAGATTGTCTTGAACTGTCAGGCTCAAGTGCAGAGAAGACACAGTGAGATCCAGCTGAGTCCAATCCTCTATTTGCTTGTGCCTAATGGACATAATCTTGCCAATCTAAAGCTCCCACTTTCTAAACTGCTAGCTATATCTGCAAAGATTCTAAGGTGTGGCTGCCGTGATTCTCTCCTCTATCCAGCTTGGGGTTCCAAAGTTGCTTGAATGGGGCCTCTTTCTGGGAAAGCTCTGAGTTGGCAAAGTCCTCTCCCTCTGCTCTGCTGCAGGTGCACATTCCATCACATGAACTGTGTCTGGAAAATAACTGGCAGCTCTTTGTGATTTTTCAATATATTCCAGTGATCATGTGGTAAGCTAGCGGATCAACATCAGTTGAAACTTTTTGTATTCTCTTGAAAGATTATTTCAAATAAAGCACTTTGCACTAGTCTGATCATGCCATTAAACTATAGACACGCAGTATGTTGTCAGGTTCGCCTTGCTTCTTAATGCTTGCAGCAACAATTTTTGGAAGTTCAAAAGTAGCTGGACTTCAGAAGGCACTGCCCTTTTTTTCCAGTAGAAGTGAAACCCTGATCTAGAATAAGGTAAAACTGGTCTGGCTTCTTACTGACCAACATTATTCTTACATAAGCTAGATGCAATGTAAGCTTGCTTTACTTAATCTCTAACTGTGGTATGCAACTAGATGGCAAAAAACGGTATAGAACCAAATGTTATTAGCATACCAGTGACATCACACTCTAGATAATTTGCCCTAATGCTTCTTGAATATTATTGGTGGAAATTCTTTTTAGGCCAAATAGTGAAGCTTTTTAGGCTTCACTATTTCAAAAATTAAAATTAAAAACTTGGGGTTTTCTCCCCATTTGGGAGGTGTGGAATGTTTTAAAAAACCAAGTAAGTTTAATAAACATGCTACAGTTAAAAAGCAAATTAAATAATATTGTTCTTGTCCTACAAAAACATAGAAAATTAGCCAATAAAGTAATGTCTTTTTACATGACCATTGCTAAATTTTGACAATATAATGTTGCATCAGAGGTGAGTTCCTACCAGTTTGCACCAATTCGGTATAACCGGTTAATCAAATCTACTGAACCAGTTAGAAGAGATTCCACCAGTGGTCCCGGAAAGCAGGCCACACCTATAAAAGAGGTTCCAAATTTTTTTGAAACCCACCACTGTGTTGCATGCTCTGGGAACTAGAAAAAAGGAAGAGGGGGATATGTGTGGACTGTAGTCCAGGATGATCAATGGCATTTGGAAGTGACAATGAGATATTGGAGAATTAATAGGGCTACACCATTTCATTTCTAAATACAGGTCACCTAACATTCAGTCTCAATTCTACATGCTGGCTGAAAGCCCAGTTGAAATGGATCCAGATAAGTGGTGTTTTCCAAATACACCCTCTTGTTCACTTCAACCTTGATCATTCATTCTGGAAATTGATTTGGCTTTATGACTTTTTTTGCAAGTATTGCAATTGCTGCTAGGGGCAGCCTCCCCCCCCCAAAAAACTATAATCTATTAGAAGCTTAAAAGTACAACTAAATTATACTAAACAAATATGCTCCGGCATTAATCTTATCTATATTATTCTGCTTTTTACCAATAAATTGAGAGTGAGTGGTACTAATCCATCAGCTTTACGATAAAATTCAAAATATCCCATTAAGATATCCCAGTCTTTTCTTCTGGCTGCTAGTATAAATTTTGTTTGCATCTGTCTTGATTGCATAATTTGGTTTCTTACTAGACAGCGACATAATTTTACGAGGAACACTTGCTATATTGTTTGAGTTCTCGAGCGTAGGATGTACAACAATGGCAATGTATCATGCTATGAAATTTTCAAATTTGATGCAGATGAAAGACAGTTGAGCCTTTTAGATTTTGAAATGTGCAGATGTTGGTAACAAAAGTAGAATTGAGATTTCACTTATTTGAGATTGAGGAAAAACATTCCATTGTAGGTTTCCATAGCTACATAGGGTAACCTGCACAATAACAGTCTATGTCCATGGGTATAGGCTGTCCTCTGTTCAGAGAATTTTTTTTTTAATAATTACAACAGGAAGCATAGTGAAACACATAACAAATGTAGAACGATTCTAATAGCTTGGCTTTACTTGATAGCTTAGCAGATAATAACTTGAGGGTATCTATCTACAGTATGTGAGAACTCAGATTGTTCATATATGACTTTTTGAATTTATCTGTAAGAAGAGCAGTAAATGGAGCTCATACCCATTACTGGTGCAATATAACACAAGTTACACAGACATTTTTTCTGCCTCTGATTTGAAAGATTGACAGACACTAGAAGTCCTGACACAGAAATTGGAGATGACATCACTGGTTGTAGATGACATACATGGCAACTGAGATGGGCAGGTGGCAACATGCTCTTTCCCAAGCATCAAGAACTAAGCATTCATAGCCCCTTCTGAAGTGTCTTCCAGTTGTGCAATTTAAGGAAAGACATGGAACTAGAAAGAGATGCAGTAGCTATTGATGACTTCCCTCTTTCCCTCTGGAAGTTGAAGGCGAGGAAAGAAATAGTTGAAACATTATTTATCCAATTATTTAACAGTGATTATGATTGATTGATGAAAATGTCTTGCTATAATCGGGAGAATGTTCCCCCAAAATCAATGTCCTGCTTTTAAAGAATGCATTGTGCACTGTGATAAACAATACCAAACATCTCTAACATGGAAAACACCCAATTCTTAAGTGTAATTAACATGAGATAGGAATATAATTAGTATTATTAAATAAGGTAGCAAAATAAAAAAAGTGGGAATGGAAGGTTAGGGTAGTGCAGTGTTTCTCAACCTTGACAACTTGAAGTCCTGTGGACTTCAACTCCCAGAATCCCCCAGCCAGCATAGCTG